AGGTTATACCGACAAGACAAACCCTGACAAATTGCATTGGTTTTAATTGTTATCATTATATTTCTAACCCACCCTATATCAAATGTTCTCAGGACAGGTTACAATCAATAAAATGACAACACAATATGAACCATAAAATCACTACAGAACACATATCTCTAAGAATTCTTAGGCTGGAATTAGATTTACAAGAGCCACTGGCCTGGCACCAAATGTAATAACGACAATAATAATAAATAAATAAAATTTTATTTATATCCCACCCTCCCCAGCCGAAGCCGGGCCCAGAGCGGCTGATGTAGCACTCTCATGGCTTGTTTTCGTCTTTACCTTGCAGTACCTGCAATTTCTGCTGTGATTGCACCTCCCAATTTCACTTCTGATATATCACATGATCACAGTTTATCAGACAGTTCATGACAGAGAGGTGGAAGGGGAACAGAGATGGAGGAGCTACCTTTGACACCAGCCATACAATCCTCATCACGTCTTGTTCCAGACTTCTTACAGTCCTTTCAAAATGACAGAAATTCATGCTGATTCAGCAGTTCCAAAGCTTGTGTGAGCTGAAACAAGTGATGTGCACACAAAGACTTGTGCAAGATGAAAGTGACCTTATTTTTTTCAGTAGTAGAGGAAGGTTTTGTGACATGTTATCCATACACACAAATGGAGGTTTTCCTAGGGTAGGGCATGACTGGGGAATCTGTTGTGTCCTTCAGATGTTGTTGGACTACACCTCCCATCTTCCCTCATCTTTGGCCATGCTAGGACTGATGAGAATTGGAATCCAACACCTGGAGGACTACATGTTACCTGTCAATGGTGCTTCCCAGCCAAAGGAATGCACACGGCAGATAGTTAACTCTTTATTGTCAAAGATAACAACTCTGGATACCTATCCATACCCATCTAGCATCTAGGCAGCTATTCCCAGGTCCGCACTCTATCGAGCAGTTGTAGCAACAGGGGACAACTACCCTCCCACCAGTTTATGTACCTTCCATCCCCCCAACCGTCTGCAGGCACGCACCCAAAGACTGCACTGGCATGGCAACTTCCTCTGCTCATCCCTTTTCAATCCTGGCTCTTCACTTGTCTGACCTGCTTCTTTGTCCTCTTCTTCTGACCCATCCTGTGGTCCACCTCCAGCTCTGAAGGTTCCCCTGCCTCTGTCTCTTGCCTCCTGGCCAGTGCAGTTTCCCACAAATCAATGACACACACACCCCAGTCATACTCCATCCTCCCTTTCTCCAGTGCACACTTGTCAGCATCCTGCCAGTCTCTGACATCATCCATCTTTGTTTTAGAATGGCACATTAAGCACTGAGCCTGGAAAAAACGTTATTCAAGCATTTCCCCACAAAATGTGTTATTTTTAAATTCATTTCTCATTACAAACGTCCATGGTACTGTACGAGCTTTTATGTAAGTTCTATATATTTAGGCTCATCTCTTGTTTATTTTCTTCCTCATGGTTGGCTAAGTAAAATTCAGGTGTGTATTTACTATGATTATGTCAAGGAAAATATACATATACAAGTGTGACATCTTCTGGATCACTCTCAAAAATTCCTTTGGACCTTTGTCATCTTGGCAGAAGCACTTGAGACTGTCCATTTTACAGATGTATGTACAGAACTGAAATCTTTCCATCTGCTTTTCTGTGTGTTTGGCCATATAACTTCAGCCAGTGTTTGGATTTCATCACAGGGGGTGCCAATTCCCTGCAGAGTCAGGAGGGGGAAAGTGTGTGAATCATCCTGAAGGATTCCAGATGTGATGTTCCTATTACCTGTTCGAGTGTATGCATTCATGTGCATTGCTCACTCCAGAAACAGGGATTGAATCCAACACTGAATTAGGCATACTTAATTCTGTGTTGTTGGATTGTAACCAGCATGGGTGTTCTCCCCCCGCCCCCCCTTTGTGCCTTTTTTTTAATGCATTCCATAGTTTCTTCTCATCCTGCTTGCTACTAGTTCTTTCCACAGAAACAAACTATGGGCTCCTCTAGGCAACCTGTGTACTGATCATTCATCATTATTTGCCTCCATAAATCTGTGTGTGACAGTGATGATCTTAGTAGGTGACCCAATCTATTGGTGTACATGATGAAATCGTACCAATGTGTATCAAAATTGTACTGTTTGCCTTTTATGTCCTTTCACCTGTCCATCAGTTTTTCAGGTAAGGCTATTTGCTACATGTTTGTGTGCTATCTTGGTTAAACCTAGGCCAGTTTTCTAATGCCTATTGATTAGGTGACAAGCAGCTCCCGTATAGAATATTTTCAAGGTGCAGCAGAATTCTGGTCATCAAACCACAAAACAGATTTCCCCCTTTCTTTAGGGGTGATCTTAAGCTAAATCTCATTACAGAAAATGCCTTGCCTTTCAAGCACTCTTTGCTAAGAAGCCAGAATTGCTAATGAAACCTGTTTTGTTTCATTGTGCTGTTTTCAATTATAAGAAGATTTGTAGCTTGTGAGGTGGTTTTGGAGACATTGTAAGGATTCTTTGCCTCACTATTGCCTCCCTCCCTCATCTTTTTATTTTCACCCTTTTATCTCTATTCTGTTGTACCCCATCCCATCACGTCATGCTGCAATGGTTAAATAAACCCCTAATTCTGCCTTTTGTGAAGCTCTAATCCTTTTATTTCATAAATCTTGTTTAATCCAAAAGGCTTCCTTTCATCTTCTCAGTCGTCAGTTGGGTCACTACTGTTGTTTCCTATAAACAGACCCTGCAAATCCTGCATTGACTTGGGAGTTTTAGAAAAGCTTTCAAGTGTTTCTATATTTGTCCTTAGATCCTACTCAAACTATCCCAAACCCACTAAATGACATATTGCTGCTCTCTTGGACTGTGTCCACATTACCAGCCAGGTTGTTCTTTTTCTCAATTCAGACTGAAACTAAATCAGTATTTCAGAAGAAATTCCAGGATAGATATGGATTGTGGCTAACGTGTGCACACCACGTCCCAAAACAGCAGTTTGGGAACTGGGTGCAGTTTAGGCACTGGATGCAGAGTAAATAGGAGTTTGTACATAGCTTCACTCTCATGTTGGCTCTTCAATTACATTCACATTTCATCCCAGCTATGCAAGAATCAGAGATACATACACCTGCACATACACACAACTCTCTATTCAGACAAGCAAGAGGCAATATAACATTTCAAGGCCATGCAAAACTACTTGCAGAGAGTGCAGAGCAGGGCTAGTGAGAGGTTTAGCCTGGGAAGAGTCCTGGGAGCCAGGAAGAACACTGGAGGGACACATTCAACCCCAGAACTGTTGTTCCCCCACCCTTTCTCTACCATGTGATGTTAATAATACTATGCAGTGTCAACATTACAACACTTTTTATTTTAGTCTAAAATATTTTGTTAAAGTTTTTTAAGGAATGGGCGATTAAAAGGGGGGGAATTTTATGAAAATTGAGTAACCTATTGTTTCTTATTGTTTTAAATTATTGCTAATATGAAGGAGGATACTCCGAAAAAAAGATTAGTGAGTTGACTAAACACCCTTAACAAATCAAACAGCCTCTACACGAGTTTAGAATAATAGATTCCCAAGAGAAAAGCATTATGTTGCTTCTTCTGGATTGACTCATGCAAGATGATCCTTCAATATGATACTTATTAATTATATTCTGTACTTCTCTTGTGGGCATCACTAGATAGGACTTTAAGGGTTGTTCTGACCTGCAAAGATAGCAAGGCTGATGGGAACTCAGCGTGACGTGAGAAACACTAAAACTTTCATTTCTGGCTTCCCAGGCCACCTGTTTGCCTGAAGTCTGTGTTGTGTGAAGCAGCAAATATTTCCAATGGGTAATTGCCCCCTCCCCCTAAGGTCTGCATGGGTACCAGTGTACCCCCATACACCATTATCTTTTACATTTTGACTACAGATGTTTCAGTGCTGACAAATAGAATAATAGGAACACAAGTGTCGCTGATGGGAGATCATAGGGCTATTTACTCCAAATCTCTTTCCACGCAAAATATTAAAGACCGTAGGTTTATTAATTAATTTTAAGCTTTTTTCCTGTTTTTCTGGAAAATGACACTTCAGGTATTACTTCATTAACATGGGCACTATCCCCTGGAAGTAGCCTCACTGAATGAAGGAGAGCTATGCAAAAGGTTCTGCTCATTGAAATAGGCCTTGTCTTGTATAGGAAGACTGCCTATTCTCATTATATTCTTATTAAAGAGAATCTCAAAAAGTATGAGCTTAGGCAGGCTTCCTCAACCTTGGTCCTCCAGATGTTTTTGGACTACAGTTCCCATGATCCCTAGCTAGCAGGACCAGCGGTCAGGAATGATGGGAACTGTAGTCTCAAAGTATCTGGAGGGCCAAGGTTGAGGAAGCCTGTGCTTAGGCAACAGTAACTCTTCTCTTTCCCATAGTGCAAATTACTGGTTATCTTATAAAACATTTATTTTCTCACACAGTTTGAGATTCAGCTTAGTATATGCATAGTTTTCCAGCTACCCTCGATGATATACAAAGAAGCACTTGAATATTTAACTTCTAGTCCAAACTAGATCCAAACATATCCCAGTGTTTGCTGTATTGTTACTAATTTACAGATGAAAATTCACTTATTAAGTCTAAGTACATGCTGGAAGAACATCAAAAATGTTTGTTATCTTTATCAAAAGTGAGTCTAAGGGAGTAGATCTACAGGACCATGTAAATTTGATAAAGTTCTACACGACCAGCCTTTCAAAGTCCTGAAATCCCCTTTTTTTATATCCTGGCTTGCAGTGGCAAAAAGCTTGAGCACCTCAACCAAATTAAACCTCTTACCTAGACAGGTTCAAACAAAACATGGAGTCAAACATAGAGCCAAACTTTGTTTAAAAGAACTACATGGCACAGTACACCAGTCTCACAATTCCAGACTGCCCACCACCACCACACATACACAAATGCAAAATGTTTGTTATAAGGGAGCTTTCGATCTAGGAATCTCTCACCTGTATTCTAAATCCCAAGAGGACTGTACCATTTGATTCTCCTGAACATAGAGTTCTCCCAGAAACATTCATTTACAATTGAATTGAAAATTTGCAAAATCCACACAGTACTCTGGAGCAGGTTGCGCTTTTGTCTTTGTTCTCCCCCAGACAGCATACCCCACTCTGCATCACAAACTGCATTTTAACTCTCTTTCTCTGTCACTGTCTTTCTCTCTCTCTCTCTCTCTCTCTCTCTCTGTGTGTGTGTGTGTGTGTGTGAGAGAGAGAGAGAGAGAGAGAGAGAGAGAGAGAGTTTCATAAGCAGTTTGTGAAGCAAGACTGGGAGAGCATTTAAGGCAAATTAAAGCCACACACACACACACACACACACACACACACACCACACACACACCACACACACACACACACACACACACACACACACACCCCGTTTGCTCCCTGAATCTTGCATTTCTTTGGATCCAGGCTTTTATTGTAAAGAGATATAATCACAAAGTAAGTCATCAGCACATTACATGCTTGTTCTAGATACATACTGAGTAAGATAGTAAAGTATCCTCTCAGTCATTAAAAAGTCTGTAAGGCAATAAAATAAAATAAAATAAAATGGGTGAAGAGAGGCAGTGGCTCAAACTTAGGTCTACCACAGCAAAAAATAAATTCTTCTCCAGACTACATAAATTGCCAACTAGATGTTTGTCTATCTTTCTTTTGCCCACCACTGCCTGGCACTTGTGTATCTGTACTTTTTACTATACTAAATGGTAGAGACAGCCACAGGAGGTTTCTCTGGACATTCTTGGCTGGATTCATCAAAGAAGCCGGATGTAGAGAGAGAATTGCAGGATTTTCTTGTGAACAGAGTACCACTTCACAGCTAACTGTGAAAAGGCTCAATCACTGCACTGTCTGCTTTGATTCTCTCTCTCTCTCCCTCTCTCTCCCCGGATGCATCTGGATAGAGCAGTGTTTCCCAACCGGTGTTCCGCGGCACACGAGTGTGCCGTGAGACGTTGCCTCGTGTGCCGCGAGATGCCTGGAGGGAGGCGGGCGAGTCGGGCGGCGAGAGGCGGGGCGGCGGCGGCGAGGAGAGGCCGCGCCTCCTGCTGCTGCCTGGCGCTCCTCCTCGCAGCCGGCAGCGCTGCCTGGGCGCCTCCGCGCGACTCTGCCTCGCTGGGTTTGGTCTCCCAGCAGAGACGGGTCACACGCGCCACTCCCTCCCTCCCTCAGCCTGCGCGGAGGGAGAGCCAGAGAGAGGCATCGCTCCTGCGCGGCGGGAGAGGGAGCTTGGCGCGTCCGCGGTTTTTATAGGGCGCCCGGCGCGCACCAGCTCGATAACGGGCACCGGCGCGGCGGGGGGCGCCGGGCCGGGGGAGGGGGGCGGCCGGCCTGTCTCCTTGGCAACCCCATTGAGCAGCGCCGGCTCCCCCGGGAGGGCCATCCCCCCGCGCCGCCGATCGCCAACACCGCCGACGCTGTGGCTGCCCGAGCCCGAGCCTGAGCCTGAGCCCGACCCGGAGCCCGAGCCCGACCCGGAGCCCGAGCCTGAGCCTGAGCCCGACCCGGAGCCCGAGCCCGACCCGGAGCCCGAGCCTGAGCCCGAGCCCGAGCCCGTCAGTCAGTCAGTCAGGAAGGAAGGAAGGAAGGAAGGAGAAATGGGGAGGGAGACGAGGGAGGAAAATTGCACGCAGGGTGAAGAAAGGAGAAGGGCGAACGAGACGAGCTTCCAACCCAAAAAAGGGCTGGAAGACTGGGAGGATGCAGGATCGGGAAAGAAAGCGACGCCTTCCCCGCCCGCGACGTCGCCCGCTTGTCATTGGCAGCGCAGCGGGCGCCCAGAGGGGCTGGGCACCGGCGCAGGGCCGCTCCGCAGCCGCGGAGGACAGCTGCGCGGCTAGCAAGGTGCGCCGCGTAGAGCGCGGCCCTTGTGTGGCCCGGTGGCCAGGCAAGCTCGGGCGGGGACCCCCATGCGAATCTAAGACGGGAGAAGAGGGCAGAGCAAAGGGGGTCCCTTCCCCAACCTCCGGCTCTGAGACTTCCCTGAGCCCCAGAAAAGCGAAAGGATTTCCCCTTTTTTTATATATAAATATTTTATTAAGTTTTCAAATACAAAGTTAGAAACATACACTGAAGAAAAAAGTAAAAGAACAAGAAAAAGAAAAAAAGAAAAAGAAGAAAAGAAAACCAACCATTCAACACATTTTTTATATAACTAACTGGACTTCCTCGCATCTCCCTTACCCTGCATTCTTTATAATAAAGATATCAGCAAATTATTACCTTGTTTCGTACCTTATTTTGTACTTTTCAAATACTATACCTCTAAATTTAACATACTTTTCATCAGTTACTTATATCTTAAATTAAACATAGTATTACCTTAGATTTTGACCTTTTCTTACTTAAAATATAATTTCCTGTTTCCCAAATCTAATTGCTGAAGCTATAGTTTCCGAATCGTGTAAATTTTTAACATTCATACAACTTATATTGCTTTTGGAAATAGTCCTTAAATTTTTTCCAGTCCTCTTCCGTTGTTTCTTCTCCCAAATCTCGGATTCTGCCAGTCATTTCAGCCAGTTCCATGTAGTCCATCAATTGTGTCTGCCACTCTTCCAGTGTGGGCAAATCTTGTGTCTTCCAATATTTTGCGATAAGTATTCTTGCTGCTGTAGTTGCATACATAAAGAAAGTTCTATCCTTCTTTAACACTTTCTGGCCAACAATGCCCAAGAGGAAGGCCTCTGGTTTCTTGGGAAAGGTATACTTAAATACCTTTTTTAACTCATTATAGATCATTTCCCAGAAGGCCTTCACTTTTGGACAAGTCCACCAGAGGTGAAAGAATGTCCCTTCAGCCTCCTTACATTTCCAACATTTATTATCAGACAGGTGATATATTTTTGCAAGCTTGACTGGGGTCATGTACCACCTATAAATCATTTTCATAATATTTTCCTTCAAGGCATTACATGCCGTGAATTTCATTCCGGTGGTCCATAACCTTTCCCAGTCCTCAAACATGATGTTATACCCAATATCCTGAGCCCATTTTATCATGGCTGATTTGACTGTCTCATCCTGAGTGATTTTCTCTTCAACCTGCCCTCCATCCTCTTGCGGAAAACTCTTTGCCTGCCCTGCCCGTATCTCGTTTTTGCTTTTTAATTCCACACACGCACCCTTCAGACTTCGTGGCAATCGGGCGCGCGGGTGCGTTTCCTAAGAGAGTGAGGACCCCCGCCTCCTCCCCACCTGCTCCCTCGCCAGCCAGCCAGCCAGCCGCGCGCCCTAGCCGGAGAGCCCCGGCCGTCCCCGTCGCGCAATCGGCTGGATCTCCCTTCAGCAGGCCGTGCTCACAACTCGGCCCAGGGACCCCCAGCAGCGGATCTCCGGCCCAGCTGAAGAATCCGGCAACAAGCCCCCTCCTCCCCAATCGCTCCGCCGAAATATGCTCCAAAACCCCCCAGATAGGCCGCCGGCCGCCAAGTCTCGTGGCGCCCTGAGCGAGGGTCTCTCCCCAACACCGCCACCTTGAACTGCGTTCTCCCGGCTACCCGAGCGAACCAGCGGCAGGACCCTGGTATGGGCCCCCCCAATATTTTTTATAAGTCGGCGCCCCTGATAACTATAACTCGTGGTTCTGATGTCCCAACGCTCCCACGGGGCACATTTCATTCAGGCGGAGGAGGGGGTCGTTGGCTAACGGCCAACAGGCAGAAAGGACTGTCCAACAATGCGATTATCCACACACACACATCTGATCCATGGATTAACATCAAAATCCTTGCATTAAAGCTCACTCCTAAGGAACCAGTGGGTCATTAGGCTTTCAGATGCACTTTGAACAAAGAGATGTTCAAAGGGAAAGCTGCTTTTAATAACGCTGCTTTTGCAGGTACTATTGGTCTGGGTCTCATCCAGCATCTTTTCAGTACACCCAGTTAGGATTCAGCAGTCCAGTTGTACACTCTTGGGTATTCAGCATTAGCTTAAGGCGTGCAATAATCACATGCCCACTTTTGCAGCATCTTCATAGCATCCCAAGTCACTCTTGGAATGCTCTCTTTATCATACCCTGCAAGTGTTTACTTGTGTAACACATCCTACCATATCTTGCAGAGAAGCACTTCAGAGAGGGCCAAAACCCCCCACACTTGGTGCCATTTTCATCTACACATGCAGCAGAGTAAGTTGACCCAGAATAGTACCAATTCAGATGGCAGATGGGAGAATGACAGTGCTGAATGCTTTCCCATGTAGAACAGTCCCTGCAAATAAAAACCTAGCATATTTGGAAGAGGGATGCTAGCCTAACCATTACCTTCTATGCTGTTACTATTTTTTTTATTTTTTTTTACATAAGTAAAAAGTGACCTTTCCCCATCTGGCATGGTGGTGTGCCTCGAGATTTTTTTCATGAAACAAGTGTGCCTTTGCCCAAAAAAGGTTGGGAAACACTGGGATAGAGCTTCATACAAGAGAAGCTTAGAAGAGAAGTTGGCTGATAGCCCTAATGTGGCGAAAAGAATTTGAAGCAGAGGAGGCAGAGATGGTGTTGCTGGTTACGTCCAATGAAAGGGAAAGATGTGGCTAAATAATGTCCTGAACTTGAAGGGAACTGTGTGAGGGTGTATGAATATTACCATCTTGCAATTAATTTTGTTAAAGTTTTTTTAAAAAATGTCTGAGTCCAGGTTAGGCTAAGTTTAGAACTATATGTGTGGGAAGTATGAAGAAACTCCAAAGATATCTCTGGAAATATGTTATCTCTGCTGCTGATTCACACATTCCTCCCAAATTTCTCTTTGTACTAAGTTTTACTAACTATAATGCCTATGTATCTGGTGAATCTATCAATACATTACAAGCACTAGTTATACATGATATCAGTATGACTTCGTAAATACATTGTAATCCCACAAAGAACTGTATATATTACTGCTGTGTAAACTGAATTCAAAAATGGGAGGGAGTGACTATACCTTCTGCATCCCTTGAGCATTCAGCATGTAACGCCGGCATAGAGCCCATTCAAATACTTTATGTTGAATATGCAAAATGATGACCTGGACAGTAAACATTATAGATCAGGCATAGGCAACCTCGGCCCTCCAGATGTTTTGGGACTACAACTCCCATGATCCCTAGCTAGGAGGAC